CTTTCCTTCCTTGGCTACAAGTGTTGCTCTGTGCAGCTTTGTACAGTACTTGGCAAGGAATGAGGCTTTTATACTTTTGAAAACCAGTTACCTAGACTGAAAAGCTTTATGTGTAGGTACACTGAAACTTTAAACTGTGGGCACATAAGGGCCCACTTAGAAGTGTTTTTTTACACTATTTCTTACGTACTGATATGCCTAGGACGTGTGAATAATGTCTACGCTCAGATATATGTTGGAACTAAATAGAACTTAAATGAGTTTCTTTTTCACTCCAGTGGCTGAGATAAAACATTAAAAGACGCTAAGAAATTGCATGAATGCAGGGTTTAAAAAAATGGTTAAAAATACAAGGGCAACAGAGAAACAAAAGTTCTTTTTTTAATATGTGATTGCTCCATACTGATGCAGTCATATTTTTCTGCTATTTGCTAACAGTGCCTCAGCACGAGGTTTGGGATTCAGGCTGACAGAATTCACCGTGTTCTTAGACCGAACAAACTCCCACTTACCCACAGGTGGGGAGGGAACTGAAACAAAGTCTTTGTTTCTCAATTGGTACACATGATAAAAAAGGTTTTGAGATATACATACGGAAGCACACAATGTCACTTTTAAAGGCCACTTTCTGACTATAACAGCAGTTTGAGGGAAAAATATGATATGAGAACATTCAGCTATCTTTCCTCTGCAATATTTCTTATTCAATGTGCCCAGGGATCAAAGTGTAGCAAAGTCTATACAGAACAATGCTCCAAAAATGAAAGGGTAAAGGATCCAAATTAGAGACAGTCCATGACAAAAGAAAAAAGCATAATATAATCATAAAGGGAGCTTCAGATCTACTGAGATAAGCATCAAGGAGACACCCATCATAGCTTTCAAAGCCAATATTATTTCCCTCAAGTCCCAGCTCCCAACTTAATTATTCAACAGCATAGTCGTAGTATCTTTTTGTGTCCTTTATAGAACTACTGATTTTAATATATAATACACAAAGAATAACAATTAGAAATTGTGAAAACTAGGAAAGTAACACTTGCAGATAATGGACAGTCACCTCACTGGGCCAATGACAACATAAAACATAGACTGAATATTTGCAATTATATTTGATGTTTGTCAAATATCCGTTTCTTCAATCTCTGATTACATTTGCCTCCTGTGTAAAGTACCTTCAAATTCAATGGCATAGTAACAGCACTAAACCCACTGAAGTAATAACAATACACATAAACAGAGACCTAAACTCAGAAAGGTTTAAAGGTTTTATTAATTTTTTATTTGAGGTCCATTACATCAAGAGTTCCTTATATTTTGAAGAGATCTAAACTGTACTGAAATTAGTAATATGATGACTGTGCCTACCAGTAAGAATCACCAGTGTGTCAGAAGGAATTCTCCTGTCTTCCTAAGATAATTATAAAGATCACTGTCTGACAAGATATAACCTTAGAGGGTGCTCAGCACACACTGAGCTGAACTCTGGTTTCTAAGTTATTTCCCCTGGAAGTGAATATTGTTTTTCAATACAGTTGTCTCAGTTACCTTTGCCGTGTTATTTTAGAAAGCCCCATACAAGCTTCCAGGAGACTTTCTGCCAGGAAAGGCTGGTTTGAACACAATATTAACTTGCATAAGGTACTACTAGTTCTTGGTGTATATCTGAAGAACTGAGAATGATTTCTTTAAAATTGTAATAAAGATATGGTAAAATATAATAAATATATGAAGATATGATCAACCTTTTATTAAAAGATTCCCATAATCTGTTGTCTAAAATGAAATTCTAAATAGTGAAACAATCTGTAATCATAAAGATTATGTTTTATTTATTTGTTTTAATGTTAGTATGTATAAAATAATTCTACATATAAAGTTTCTACTGTGAATAGACATAGAAAGTGGACACAAGTGACAAGTTAATTTTCTGAAAAACAAAGGATGTGGGAAATATTTGTGGCATAATTAATCATACAGGTTTTTCTGCCTAAAAGCAGACATGTTTAGTAATCTAGTAAGTGTTGTCTTGCAAGGTTCTGTTATTATTTTTCTTAAATATCTTGAATCCTTGATCTAAACCAGGCTCATAAATTACTAATTTTTAATAATTTAAATACTTGTTTTCTTCCAAAATATTTATTTTTCTGTGAGAATTGTCAAAAACTTTTTATTAAAGTGAGACTTTTATCCTAATAATGAAAAGTTGTAAGCAACTCTGCAAGTTACTTTTATAGGAGAAAATTCTTGTCACATCTACAGTGCCCTTGCTCCCAGAGGCCCTTGTGTGTGTGAGCTCTCCCAGATGCACAACAGCTTGCCAGCCTTCCTGCAGCCACTGCTGTCTATTCGAGTCACAGTGATCCCTCCTGCATGGATTATCTTAAAATAGCACAGTATAAATGAAATCTTGCAATTATCACAAACACCCAGGTGTTTGGTGTGGCAGGATGGCCAGAGGAGAGTCGCTAAACTGGCCTGGAAGATTTGTGTCCTTGATCAGTATTTTCTGAGGGCAATTGGCCACAGTGTCTGTACTTACTGCTGCAGCAACACAGAGCTCCTGTGACTTACTAAATCCAGAAGAAAAATGTAGGAGTAGCTGGTCCTGCTGCTGTCCTTCTTAAACTAAATGATAAACAGCGGAGGAAGAATAGTGGTTGGAGGGAGAAGCTGAAGGAAAGGAGAGAGATCAATCTAAACCCTTGTTGGCAGTCAGCCACACCACCTTCACCTTGTCCAATTGCCACAGCCAGCCAGAAGGGCCTTCCCTCTTTTCTCTCCCTGCCTTTCCTGCAGTGAGTCACTCCTGCAGACATTATCTTGTCTTTTCTGTTAGATAATGAAAGACACTGTGTATTTTCTTGTTCTATTTTCTGTTTACCATTATGTAGTGTACTAAGCCACTCATTATTGCTTTTGCAGATTTGTAAACATTATTCTCACACCTTTTTAAATAGACCTCTATTACTGTAATTATGAACATGTTGTGTTTGCACACAAGAATGGTATGGGTTACAGGGAAAAAAAATAGCTGATCTTTCACAGTCATAGAAAAATAATATTCTTCATTTAAACTCAGATTGGTTTAGTGCGGTGTTAATGACCTGAAGCTGACATTATTAACAGTATATCTTTACTTAAATGGCAACGGGAAGATCATATTAGGTTTCAGAAACATTGTATTTCTGCAGAAGCTGATTATTTAAGCCAGAGAGTCATGAATTGTGAAACTGATGATGCCATATATTCTCTTCAGTCGCTAAAAATGTCTCTAGAAATCAAACTATCAGTCACACTGAATATAAAAAAACCCCAAAACATTAGTTTTCCAGTGACAAGAGATTGTATAGTAAAGATTTGTAATCTCCCATGTACAGCAAAGAAAACACGAAAAGGAGTTAGGCTGAGATTCAAAACCTAGACTTGAGTACTGTGAAGAGCAGAGTTTAGAAACTCATGGATCATGTTCTATCTGATAGTTCTTGTCTTTCTAGATTTGTTTTGCAGTTGAGTTGTGCCTTTGAAGGGATCTGTGTGCTTTGGCATCACAGTGACTGAAAAATAGAGATACTTAAAACATTCTGGGTGCCCTTGAGTTGCTTGTAGCCTTACAGTTCCTCAGCCCAGGAATCTTGCAGTAACAGGTGAAGAGTCTAAATGAGCTGTAAATGTCTAGGCCTCTATTAAACAACACCAAGGGAGAGGAAAAAGATCCCAGACTTACTGTCACCTACATGCTTCTTTCTGATTCTAATAGCTGCTTTAATGCTTTTCTGTCTGCTCTCTCTACCCAGTTGTCTTGTCTTTGATTAGTTTTCCTTCTGAGCATTTTATTTGCTGATGTACCAGATGCTCTTCTAAGTGACACATTCCAGCCCCAGTCACTGGATGTGACAGCCATGCTGTATCTAATCATGAAATGCTGTGCTCAGACACTTGACAGTGTTTGAAAATACTACTCTTGCTCTGAAAACAATATGAGGAGTTTAGTGTGGGTGAATGCAACTAGACTGATAACTGGAGAATGATAAATTAAATAAGAATACTTTTTTTTTTGTATTTTGAAACGAGTTTGGGTTTGTTTTTTTTTGCAATTCAACTATTATAAGTGAAACTGCATGGAGTTTCAGACAAAAATATAAATCTCAGTTTTTTAACGACTGTAAAATCTGTAAAAGTCTTTTTTTCTGAAGGATAGAATAAATCCTAGTTCAAGGAACCATGTTGTAAGGAGAAAGGTGGCACTGAATTGAGGCTTACTGTGAAGCATCTTCAAGCATCCTGGAGAATTGAACTTGATTTTGCAATTCTGTTACTCTTATATCTGAGAGGATTATTTGTTTTTCTAGCAAAGCTTCAGGAAGCATATAATACATGTAGAGTGGAGTTGAGATTCTGTTAATCATGTACTTAGCATCTGTGTTTTTAGAACAGCACATACTTGTGTGATTTTGGCCCATCATTTGTGATCTGTTTGAGGATTCCTGAGAATAAAAAAGCTATATATAAATTCAAGATAATATTATCAGCTGAAGCTCTGTCAGATTCAATAGGCAAGAGTAGATAAACTGAGCTACTGTGTACCACTTTTTGGTTTTAATCTTAGAAAATAAAAGATTGCAAAAAACAAAAAGAACCTGTCTCCAATTTTACAGTTGCCCTATATCCCAGGTGCTCATTCTGCATTATTTTTTCAAGATACCTTGTTTAGATGAGAAAGAAATAATATTGAATTAATTTTACAAATTTTACAGAATAGACTGCTTTTTAGGTTGAAGAATATAAAGTAAAAACTGCATTCTGGATATGCAGTTACCATTAACAATATTGAAATTCTAGTGTTTAACAAACCAAGAACAATTCCAAAACTACTTCTCTGTAACAAAATCTTCAAATGCTCTATCTATACTTGCACAAACTATATCAATGAGAATTACATCAGCTACTAAAGCCTGTAATTATCTCACCAAGTAAAGAATGGAGGTGGGTGTACTTACTGTGTCAGCACTATAGCCACAGCATCATTTAGGACACTCTCTCCAAACAGGAGCGTGTATAAATCTGTATCCACATGCAGCTCATGGAAAATAGCAAGAACTGTCACTGTATGGAAACAAAGCAAAGTGAGTTCTTATTTTCGTGTTGCTCTGGCAGTTCAAGAAATAAAGCAATATTAGAATATGAGTTTTGAGAAGTCTAGTCCTATTTATTGCCTAAGTGGTTAATAATAAGTTATAAGGGATCAACTGAAGTATATAAGATCCTTAAATCCATTAGGTCTATGAGTTTTGGTGTTTCAGCTGAGTTAGGAAGACACTTTCCCTCTCACACAGAGAATCATGCATATATGAAAATGTCCCAGCATGTTTCACTGTGCATAAGGGACTGTGATCTTGTGACTACAGAAAAAACAAGGGTGATGAAAAGATAGGCTTTTCCATGGACTTCATGTGTAATGAGTAGTGGTTTACCTGTTTTAAGAAGGATTTAATAACACTTATCCATCTATTATGCTTGTTCACTGAAGAATATGCATAATAACTTACCCTGTCCTGAACCACTTTCCCCTTGGATTAGCATATCTGTGGTCATGCAGCCTTCTGGTCCAGATCAGGATATCTGACACCTGTAACCCTTTGCCCTCAGAATATCATTAACTAACGTTCCTTCCTCCTTCATGAGTTATATCCTCTATTTGATTTTTAGTTTACCAGTGTAGTAGAAAAAGAATAGAGTGTGTTGAATTTAAATTGAAGTTGGGCAAAACATTTAGACAAACATCCTCAGGGGCATTTAGACACTTGGCTCATATTCAGGAAATAAGGTCCTACAGTTATTAACTTATGCCTTATCTGTTTTATGCCTCAGTTTTCTTACCTGCAAACAGGGTATCACAGTCCTTCCCAAGATCTACCTTGCACTTCATAATGATAAAACCGATTCTTTATTTCTCACAGTAATCTCCAACTGAAGAAGACTGTTTATGTTCTGTGTTGGTTTTATTTTATCTTTGCATGGGTGAAGCAGAGCTTTCTCTTTTCAAACAGAATTTAATGTAAAGGCCCCCAATTACATGATAACTCACTGCTTCACTGGCGCTCATTCTAGTACATAATTGTGCAAATGACTCAGTCCTCAAGGTCCAGGAATCCCAAAGTTTAGGAGTGCCTCTGGGATGCCATGTTCACCTCTGACATTTTAGATATGACAATTATATGCTTTTACATTCACATGACTGCTGATAAATCACAGAAAAACATGAACAGCTAATGACGTTTTGTCTTAATAATATTTCTTGGAACTTTGAGATCATTACTCCTTAGATTTTCTAAATGACATTTAAATATCTGTGTAATCTAAAAATCTGTTTATAAACCCAAAATAGATTCTCAGTTCTCCTGTGAGATTTTATGTCAAAGTGATCTCTGTTGATGTGTTATCTTTGAAGAATTTTGGAAGTGTTATCCTACAGAAGACAATTTAGGGGATGTGTGTAGCTGAACATTTGCTGATATAGCTATATTTAAATTAGCTAGTTATATTTAACCATCCTGGTAACCTCACCCATCTACTCCCACTGCAGCTATAATTTAAACTAGGAAAAGAGTTCTTTCCCCAGAATAGCTCAAAGGTGTAGGAAGGAGTTTTATTGACAAACGATATTTTCTTGGTTCACCAACATCTATATTCAGGTTTTTTCCTGATTAGCAATGCTGACTTAATGTGCTAAATGTGGACCCAGTTTAGTGCCCTGTTCTTTGATGTCATTGCCATAACAACAGACTTGTTTTCTAAAACTATTTGCCACTTCTAGCTTTTGTTTACTGGCTAATTAGTTTGGACTCTCATTAATAGTCCCTGTGGTAATGATAGAAGGAAAAGAAAGCAGTAAAGTCCAAAGTCCTGTCGGTGTGTACATGTAGCAGGCCAACCCAATTAGACAGATGCCTACACATTCCTCTCCTTCTTCTTTCCTCCTAAGTAAACAGATTTCTTTTGTTTTCTTTCTCAACCCTACCCCAAAAATATGACTTCAAATCTTTTCAAATGAAAGCAAAATAATAAAGCAAGTGACACAATAATGCATTGAATGCCCAGTTCACCCAGTTTTCAGAAAGTATCTTCTATTTCAAATGTTTTCTCGTTTCCAGTGGAGGTTATAGGATCTTCTTTACAGAACTACCTGTCCCTGACCCAAGGATTCTGGTCTCTGCTTTGTCCCTATGTTTGTCTGGCCCAAGACACAGCAAACTTCAGCCATATCGCTGCTGACAGATATTTTTCTGATCTGTTTTTAAGGAACTGAAGTGATGCTGGTTCCACAAATCCCAAGGGAAAGTAACTTACTCTTCAGTATTCATACAATTTATAAATGCAGTTATTTCTGAATGATGTCTAACCTAAATCTCCCCTCCTGCTCTTCAAGTCTGTAATTTCCATTCCCAGCCTCATGAGACACAGATAATTTGTCACATTTATTCAGTTTTTCTTTCCAGCAACATTTTGCCTATTCAAAGACTCATTTCAGACATCTCCTCCCTAAACTGACTCACTTTCAATCTCCTCCCTTTAGTAAGGTTTTCTTGCTTTCTAATCTGTGCATATCTTCCCTGAAATACAGTGCCCAAAACCAGACACCAGTATTGTAGTTGACATTTGCTGTCAAGAAATAGAATGAAAAGATGCTGTAGAACATGTTAATAAATCCTATTTTCCTTTTGTTTTTGCTATGTATTGGTACTTATGACTCATTTTCAGGTTGTAAACCTGAAATCCTTCTCATAAGTGAATGCTCACTTCTTGTCTGCTATCTATGAGGTTGATTTTGTCTAAGTGAAGCATTTATCCTTCTTGATTTTAAATCATTGCAGGAATCATATTGAGTTCTAATCACATTTTTCAAAGTGTTTGCAATCTCCTTTATACATAATATTATACATTGAAGAAGCCCCCTCTGTTGCATTAGCCAACTCATTAATGAACATTGTAAATAGTATCTGCATAACAACAGAGAACTGCAGAATCTTTGGCACACCCACCCTGTTTAAGAGCTCAAGAAAACATTTGCACCTTGTTTTGACAACCAGCATGTAGTCACTTCCCCCAGATCACATTTGCCTTCATTAATTATGAGAATCTATGGGTATAGGTCAGAACAGACATGATAAAAGGGACATGACATTCTGCTACGGAAGAAAGTTAATTTAAATTGCTCTCTGGATAGAATCACACCCTAGGAATAGTCATCAAGTCCAAAGTAGACACATCGTGTTTTGTCTGATGATTGACTTTAAACTCAAGGGAATTAATTTTAAAATAATCATATATCACAATGACATGTCTAATCTGTGAGAACTTTAAGCAAAGACCATAGACGCTGCATTGCAGTTAGCACGGCCTCCCTGGCTTTCTGAAGGCACTTTGAGGAACAGTAAGTACAACTTGGGTTTTGTGTGGAAACTACTCAAAGACTTGCACAATTCAATAGATACAATATGTATTATAAAGACACCAAACTACTTTTCGTTAAAGTACACAACACCTCTTCATCTCTTATTTCAGTGTAAGTATATGAGGACAGGGATAAAGACAGGTAAAGAACTTGATGGCTAAAGGGACAGGTAATTGGGGGAGCACAAACACCTTTTGTGGCAGTAGAAAACTGACGCCAGTGGAAATAACGTGTATGAGAGCTGCTGACTCAGAAAGAGTTGTGACCTTCACTCAAATATTCAGACATGGGAAGCAGGAAATAGTGAAGCATTTAAGATTTTCACAGTACTTGTGCCAGCAGAAATCTGATTCATTTCTTCCTTAACTTCATGGCTTTAGGGAACATCTGCTAGATGATAAGCTTAGCATGCTTTCAGTTGTACCCAAGTCATAACAAGTGTCTGTGGAGCTGGTTTGTGAAAGGTAACTTTTGACATATGTAGAAACAAATCGGCTTGTTATTGGTCCCTGTAAAAAGTATTTGCAACTGAAATATCAGCAAACTACAACAATCCCTGAACTAACTGTATCCAATGCTACTTTGCTGTTATGTTTAAAAAGAATAAGGAAACCCAGAAAATAAATGAGACCATTATATAAAGTACTGGTATTATTGTACCTCGATCCTCTGACTAGAACTATTAATATCTTTCTCATGGGCATAAATTCTTTTAGGAGGGCAGTGTCAAACAGGAAGAAAATAAGATGAGAGAAATTTAACTTATATTTCCTATTGACTGGGTCTAAAAATAAAGATTTCAATTTAAGTTATAGTCTTCTTTCCCTATTAAGCAGTCACACCACTCACAATTAGTTCAGTGGTGAAAAAGAAGAAAGCATACAAATATTTTAATTAAAACCACATTTATAAAGTCTTACATAACCAGTATATGAAATGTACTATGTTGTTGTATTTGTACATTATGCTTCTTAATATGAAATCCTTTGATTTTATGAGAAACAGAAACTGCTCTTTCTGATAAATATCCAATTTTATCAATAACAAGAGCAGTGCAACCCACAGCTCCAGTTCAGCTGTAACCATAGTAACTCCAAATAGGGAAGAGCCTTGTGATTATCAGTGTGACCAAAGGTAAGGGAGTTCATATAGCTCAGAAATAGCCGTGCTCCAGCAAACCCTTGTAAGGTAAAGCTGTTTTCTACACTTGAAATGTCAAAAGTGAAAAAGAAAAAGGAAGTGCCAAAGACACATGAGATGTGTCTGGATGGGAAGGTCATTGCACAGAACGTGTTAATGGCAGCAGCCAAGACAATGTGCCAGTCGCACTGTTGGGTTATTTTTGGTGGCTGAGGCAGAGCTCAGACCTTTACATTCACGTGCCCGTTTTGTTCTGTCCCTTCATTTGCTACAAGCACTGGCGCCCTGGAGCAGCCGATTGCTGGGGCTCGTTGCTGACCTGCCTTCCCAGCACAGCACAGCCGCTGGCAGAACACCCGGGCTGTGCTCGCCCGGCAGAGGGTTTCATTTGCCAGGTCTCTGTTGCTCAGGGGCCAAGCGCTGGGGGCTCCACGCCCACGGCAGCACCTCTGCCACACTCTCCCTGCTGCTTTTGATGAGTGACATGTGCACGAGGATGCAGGAAGGAACTGCTCCATCCCCTTTGAGGGGATCACAGCAAAACACTCCCAGAGTCAGGTTCCATTAGAAATCAAAATGCAATACTAACACGAGGAAACCCTTTCTACAGCAAAAGAGAAATCTGTGCTGTTTGACACAGATGAAAGAACAAGATTGATCAGAAGAAAGAAAAATGTAAATACTGGTCATGTTTAAATCAAAGATTGAGGAAGTGATAATTTGGGAATTTTAGAATTCTGTTTCTTTAAATTAAATCTCTCACCTGAAGTCTTAAAATAACAAACTTTTCCTGCTGAAAATAATAAATTATTGAAAGGAGGTATTCTCTGTAAAACGAATTATTTAGTTGAAAGTAACTTTCTTTTGTCCGTGAAGTTTCTAACTTTCCTGTCTAGAGACATGAAAGTTCTTTTGAGGTATCCCAAAGCATCACTGATGTTTAGGGATCACAGTCTATAATGCAAAACACAGTCCCAAGTATATCCAGTCTCAAATTAATTTCTTAATCTTAGTTCAAGAGCTAGTTTTCTCTATAAAGGAACACACAGCATGTAAGAGCAACTCACCTGAATTATTTTTATGCAAAAATATCTAGATTAATAATCTTCAGATAACTTTCAAAACTAAAACCTACAGACTGCTATGATATTTTTTTGTTCTTCTTAACAGTATTGGCAACTGTAACTGGCAGACATTTGTTCACTGCCCTGCTAGTAAAAGTCTTTATTTATCATGTAAACATCTACCAGTCATCTTTACAATTACAAATACAGAACTCAATCAAACCAACTTCTGTCAACTGATCAGTTTTAGCATATTTTGAGGCTTAATTGCTTCCAACAGCCAAGGGAAATTAAATCTCTTTTTAAAATGAGTTAATAATCCTACACAGTAAAAAATTAAATGAAAATCATGTAGGAAATCTGACAGGAATTTATTTTTTCATCTTAAGACACTAATTTATTGTTCTAGCCTACTTCTATAATGCTGACATTTTACCAAAGATTTCTTTAAGAAAACAAAATCAAAACCTAGTTATCACATATAAAATCATTAGACTGATTATTTTATGCTCTAATACATATCAGTCCTCCATGGCACAAAATTTTAGCTTTAACTTCTGGAATGCCAGTGAGCTCTTTACATGGCTTGAGATTATAATTCATTAGCAGATCCTGCAACACAATGAAATATTTTCAGCAGTCTCCACCATTTAATTAATGACAAACTTAATTCAAAATTCTCTAAGTCTTTGAGTGGTTGAAATTTATGGATAAGGTTAGTGAACACATGGAACAACTTAGAATATTGTGAGTAGATAACAGAGGGAGCAAGACTGAACATTAAAAAACCTCTTGGACATGAGCAGACACTATATAAGTAAGGAGTAATTGCAAACAATATTAATTAATGACAGTTTGTCACACTAAAAGCAGTTTTCTCAACTGCAGCATTAGATTTTTAAGCCTATTTAAAAATCTAGGAAAAGAAATCCTTTTCACTTCTTATTCCTTACAGTCTAAGAGGAGCTTCTGTTTTGTTTTCTTTTTTTATTTCATGGTTGTTTCAGATTAATCAGTGGTGATTTAGTACCATTCTAATCAAAATCAGTGCATTTGTCTTATACATTACTCCTCATAAGTCAACATGTTAATTTGTGAAACTAAATAGTATTGGACTGGAAAATGGGAAAAGAAACCAAGTCAACTGCAAAAACCTATTCATGGCACCATCAAGAAACATACTTAGAAATTGTAAGCACCCTTTTTATTCCATAAGCAGTTTATTTTCCAAGGTTTCCCTTGTGCTTTCAGTTTCTGTGTTTTTCTCTTGCTCTGAGGATAGGCTCCAATCTGAGCTGAATCTTAATAATGTAGCTGGGTGATAAGTGGCAGCATATTGGATGCTTGGATTAATTTGAGAATAACAACTTGATGCAGCTTTTACAGCAATCTTGCAACAACTGCTTTTGTGGAAATAAATTGTTTTAGACCATATTTTTAAGCCATCAGAACGATAAATCACAAGCCAAAAGTATCTTGTTAAATATTGAGAGATCATTTAGAGAATGGAAAAAAATTGTAGAACAAATGGCTTTTTCTCATTTCTTTTCAAAGCCAGGGATTTGAAAGCTTTATTCCTAAGTTTCTCAGAGAAGTTTCTCAAGGGTAGTTGACACTAATGTGCATGACAAAATGTTTTCTGTTACATTGCCTGTAACAGCTCAGCTGAACATTTTGAAAAATTCCAACATACCCTTGCAAAATTTGTATTTTGTCTCAGCAGACAACATATTAAAAAATCCTTTTTTCACCTTGCCCTTCACTGTTACAGGTGCAAATAGCAATACCTTCCTTTCAATATCAGAGTACTCTTATTAACATTTTCAACATAACAAAACCTGGAAAAATCTACGAAACCTAGGCTTACTTTGAGATAAGCCCTGTTTTGATTAGAAGGATGGACTAGAAGACCCCCAGACATCCCTTCAAATGTAAGAAATTCTGTACTTCTGGGATTCCAAAACTCACTGAGTCTGCTTCTGAGTCTGCTTCCCAGACTTTGCTATTTACTGCAACTTCAGGCTTTAAATCTCATGTCTCCAAATTCAAGTCAATCTGTTGGTGTGGGATTTTTTAGAGTTGTATTTATATGAGCACTGCATTCAAAGTGTAACTGATGCCTTATAAACAGTATTCATGTGGCCAAATCTGAAAGCTTCGTTCCCCGTATCTTTAAGCTGGGTTAGATCACACATGGATGTGATGTGGAGATTTCTAACTGTGAGGCCCCAGGTTACAGCAGTTCTCACAGCAATCAGCAGGGAGGTGTCCTGGAGATCAGAGGACATTTTTCCAGTCTTTCCAGCAACTCCAATTATGAAGTCTGTGAGCTAAACCTAGGTAAACTAGTCACTGAAACAAACACAAGGGATCTCTGGAGCTGATTTGACTTGTGATTATCAGAATATCAGACATTTAACAGCTATTGGAAGAAAACATTTCTATGGGACTTACAATTGTGATGTTCTTATTTACTCTTCTGACTTTTGAAAAAGCAATTTATTTAAATGGTTACCTGGATCTGTGGCAGACATCAGTGATCCAAAAAATAAACAGTCAGTGAAGTGGAATTCCCATTGCTTTAACTGGCCCATGTGTACCATGGCCTTCACAAAGCCATACATTATCAACCTGTCAGAGGAAAGATAAGACAGGCATTCAGACAGAGCATTTGACACTTATGCTCAATTTACAGTATTAAACAGGTTCTTATTTTCTTTAGCTTCTTTTCAGTAAACTTATCACACGAATACTGAACATAAACAGTTATCATGTAAAAATTTTATTTCCTGTTCAACTGTCAAATATTGTATTGAAACACCAGAGGCAATTCCAAAGCAAAGGCTTTTCTGAATAATTGTCATCTGCTGGTAGCAGAGGACAATGGTTTGAGCTGTTTATTTTTCAAAAGGAAAGATAATGTAAATGTAAGAAGACATTATTAAGACTAATTTGTCTAATATTGAAGAACATTTAAACAAAGGCAGTTCCACTATCAGCTCTGTGGCTTGCTCTAATATTTCTAAATGATTAGTTTTATTCTATGAGCTTTTAAATGTTAGCTGTACTCAAAGTTCCAGATAAGGTCTCCAAATGAGACATATTTAACAACTCACAGTGACAGTGAGGCAACAAAGTCACACTTCAAAATGCACTGCTACATCCTCACCAGTTTCACAGGAAATGTTATCACTGGTTTATATAACCAGGCAATGCTATCTGAGATGTGAAGTCTAGTAAGAATCTTGAAATACCTCGAAAAAAAGAGATTCAGTTGTTGTTAGAACCTGTTGTAGATTTTCACAATTTTATGTTTCCAATCTAGTTAATAATAAACCCAATTGCATTCCATCCCTTTTCCATAAATACAACACATAAATTGACAACTGGGCTCTTCTAACTATGGACTTTAAACCAACCATTTAAGCAGGGCTCCACACATGCACATACTGAGCTATGTTTTGCCCTCAGCTACACTCCTAAGGTGTTACCAAAGCTGCAAAAATGCAGAAGATCTGAGGGACATAGGAAGTGTTACTTACCCAACAGTCTGAGAGTTGATTACAAATTGCTTTCAAATACTTTACCAGTCTTACTGTATTCCACTAGGAGGGCAGCAGATAAGTCTCCACAGCATTCCCCAGTGGTCCCTGAGTATCTGTATTTACAGGAGCTGCCTAGCAAACAGTTCACCACCAATTGCCCTAAAACTGTTTATCCAGCTATGGTTCTCCTTGATTGATGAGTTCACTTTCTCTCCATTGCCAAAGAACAAAGACTCAGGACCCTGCAGTGAACTTAGTCTTTTTATCTCCAGCACTAATTTGTCAGCTTTCAGGAATGAATCCTTCAAAACCTGACTGTGGTGCTGCTATCCCAATTTGCAATTGTCTCAAAAGCCACAGCAATGGAAGTGAGCATGGGGATGCCTTTTAGAAATAATTGCCCAGACCTGCTTGCAGTTTTGACCAGAGATACTCTTCTTCCTCATTTTAAAAAAAAATTAAAATAATAAATAAAAATAAATCTTGACTATCTGTAAAATTTAGTAATGATATTGAAAAGTTTGATCTCAGCTGGATACCTGAGCTCCAAATGGTGGTGCTATTACACATCATTCAGTACCACACAACATAACTGTTCTGAAAACTTCTCAGCTGGACTTAAGGTTGGTTCAGTGCTGCAAATTGTATTTGTGAATAATGGATTTGGTCATGGATTTGGAACATTATAAGGCAATACAACAGAAGAATAAAACTCAGATGAGCTTTGCTGCAGGAGACCTGACATTTTCTACACCCAAACAAATTTCTTTTAAATGTGGGAAGGAGCTCATCAAGCTAGAGCAAGTATTTTGCTACTTCAACAGGAAAAGAGAGAGGCAGTAATGTAATGAAACACAGGAGAATTCAGAATTTTCCAGATTATGCAAGTCTGGAACTTACAAAGTGTCTCATCTCTCAAAAATTCTACATAGAATGCTGTCATTACACAGTAGAGGAGACATCATATAAATATTTGAGTTGCTGAAGTAAGAATCTTCTTCTGGGAAACTGAACTTTAACTACCATAATTTCCAGTAGAAATCGGCAAGAAAACCACGAGTCCTCAGCACAAAGGCACAAAATAAACTGTAGACTGGCAAAAGTTGAAGTAAATAACAGAGACTGAACAACCAGAACAAAAATTCCACAAGGCTTTAATTATTCTGAGCACTGGGTTGTCCTTACAGTTTTGAAGCTGGACTGAATTTTGAAGCTTGCTGGTGTGAAAAAGGGAGGATGAATCTCCATTTGTAAAGGGTCCACTTTTTTTACTACTACAGTTCTGCTGCTAATAACCTTCTATTGTCGTGCACTGAGGAAAGGACTTAGGAAAGCACCTTGGCTTTCTGGGAACTGCTGGATTTTTCCAGTGAATTTGTTTATAAAGCTGCTCTCTAGGAAGGTTACTCTGGGACTGGGACATTCTTGAACCAGCTGCTGTTTACTTGTAGAGGGGAAAAAGAGAGAGCCCTCTCCTAAGGCCTTTACAGACTGATTGCTACACACAAAACCAGGGCAGGTTGGTTTATAGAATGCTGATTCTTTGATAAGTAGCTGAATCCTCACATGCAAGCTAAAATGGGAAAACCTACCAGTTCTAAAAGAATCTACTCTTAATTTAAAGCTGCAGGGGACATAATTAGAATGTAAGAAAGCCTGCTAAGCAAAGATGTACAACACACCCCGTATCCTCAGTACAGACAGCCCCATCTGCCTGAGGATTTTATCAGCAGTTGTATTTTTTCAGTTTTGCTGTTCATTGCATTATCACTGCTGAATCTCACTAAGGGTCTTTATTGTGTTAAAGGTTTTAAAAGCATAATTCCTGATTTAAAGTGTTTGTGCAGTTATGTTGTGTAGCATGAAAGAGACTTGTAATTTAAATCTTTTCTGCAAAATATGTTTTCTAGTCTGCAGAGAATTTTTCATCTCGTAGTCCAACTCTCTAAAGAATCCTACTTTATCTAGACGTGATTATCTTGTAGCTGGAAGCCAGTTGAACATAGTTACAGATTGTAATCATGCAAGCAAAAGATGAAAAAATATTTCTTCCTTCACATTTCTTCCTTTTCTCAAGGAATAGCAAGATTAATAAGCCAAGAATATATATGAAGTAACATAGTGATTGACGGATACCATAATAGAAACAAAAAGTCACTTATCCAAATTTAAAATACATGATGAAAAATATAAATAGTAGAGATAAAAATTAAATACCCACTCCTTTATTTTGATCTTTCTCTTTCTACTATATCAATATATTTTTATAACCTTTTCCTATACAATGAAATGCTTCACATGAAATGTCCTGGCTGCAGTGATCCATTATTTCAGAGTGTTCTATGTAGTATTACATCCTTCTTTTAGTCATCTTTTAAATCAGTTTTGTCACTAGGAAGGATAATATCATGGGTTTTTCTTCAAAAACTCATTTGCCAACTAATCAAAGCAGGAGAAAACGTCAGTGAAGTTTGTCAGGTAAGAATAAAGTGATAGTGAAGTTACCTGAAGTTATTCTATATAAATCACAGAAGAAGAAAACCCCTCTGGCCATAGAAATAACTGAGAGATCAGAAAAGAACCTGGCTTTAAAAAACCCACTGCTTACCCAGTCACCTGGGGTACAGTGACTGCCCAGGAGCTGAGCATTAGAACTACACACAAAGCTTGAGCATCAGTGGATCTGACAAACAGCTCCAGGGAGCACAGCTGGGCTCCTGGGAGGGCACGGGGTGAGGTGCAAAGTGCTTTTGCTTGGCATTTCCCACTGAGCAATGGAAAAGATCTGCCACCAACGTTTTGTCAGTAGTCACAGATTATCTTTTTGCTTCTTCAATCAGAAGCTGTGATGGGAAGGGTAAATGGAGAGGAACACGTTTTACACCTCAGAGATATGATGTATGTTATGTGAGTAAGAAAGGCTGTGTTCTGGTAACCATGGGTCTATAGGTAGCTTGGCTTGTTAGATAGTCCTGTGGTATTGGAGTTTTGGGAAAGTGATGGCTGTTCAGTTATTTAGTCAAGAAAACAGGTACTGAATGTAAATAAAAAAAATCCAGCCCAGGTTTCTGTATCAGTCAATTTGGGGGCCACTGGTAACAGAAACAGTGAAGAGATCTGAAACAGGCTTCAAAATATTTATCTTAAGTTCTATAACCCATCTTCATTGGTTCAGAACCACAGTGAGAGCCTGTCCTTACTGAAACACATGCACACGTGTCCAGTGCTGACTTCAGCACAGTGCATGTCTGCAAGATGCTGCTCTGCCAGCCCCGTGTCAGCCAAGCAAGGGCAGAGGTTACAGCACTCACTGGATCCTCACCCCTTGCTGTATCTCTGCCCCAGCTCAAGGCTGCCATGCCCAAGTAACCCACGTCATTTCACTTTAGGAAAGACCAACTATATTTGTTCTTGGTGTATTAGGACATGTTTGAATGAGACTGTGCAGAATGCCCCAGTGTCTGAGCCTTTGCTTAATTAAAAACAACTTCCTATGGATTTGTACTCATGAAAGTAAAGAATTGCTACATGTTGGTATGAATTTTGGTTAGTCTTCTGTAGTACATTCAACCATGGGAAATATCTATTAAAATATAGAGGTGAAAAACGCTTTATCCAGCTTCAAAATTTCAAAGTGCAATTGTAGATTTTGCTGATAAATGCTAACAGTGTAGCTAAACTAAGTGAAGAGTGGAAAAAAGGGAGTCAGGTGTAAACATACATGAGCTGAAAACTTAGTTGAGATTACCAATCATTGCTGGGAACTGGTATTTCATGGGATTTTTTTGGGTTTCAAAAAAGTCTCAAATGATATTTCATGTTTGTTTTGGTTTGTTTTTAAAATTTCAAATCTCTTTTTTCAGATTAACTTTCAGATAGCCTTTGCTGTACTGTAGTTTTACAACATTTTGCATTGAAGACATACAAACCAATTTAGCACCTCTCACAACTGCACAGTATTATTTAATGTGTTTTTAATATTTCTCTAATTAGTACAACACAGCTTTGGGATCCCTGTGTTCCTGATCTCCATTTAAATTAGAGCCATTATGCATTATATACGTACAAACCTGAACCTCTGCAATG